CAGTGCTAGGTATCTCATAAAACTTCAAAACCCAGGCTTCTATAGGATGGAACCATGACAGTTAAAGTGCTACATCTGTATAATATGGATATACTCAAAGTGTAGTCAGAAATAAATTCCATGGAGTCAAGTGCAACATAGGCTCAGGCGACTGTGTATTGAAAAGGTGGGCAATTATTTCAGAATCATGGCGAAATTCATTATCAGAGAAGTTTACAGAGGCTGCTTTCAAGTGGTCAGTAGGGTCACGGTCAAAAGGGTACAATCAAAATGTCATTGCTTTCAGATTTAGGCTCGTTAATAGCTAACAACCAGGCCTTTGGGGGGGGGGCACTTAAATCTTTTCAAATGAGGCTGGGAGAACTATACAAAAGCTTTGGAACTACCCAATGTTGGTGTCATCCTGAACAGAGAGAGTGTGTGTCTGGGAAGTCTCAGAGAGTTGGATTTGGCTACAGGACCTAAGGTTCTCATCCATATAGGATAATAGAATGAAAGGGGGTGTGTGGTACAAATAATGAAAATGAAATAAATGAATTATCTGCTCAGCTAAGCCATGATCTGGTTTATATATCTGGCCATGAAACCAGGGGCTGGAAGTTCGATTCTCCACTGAGCCTCCTTGACAGGGCTGAACATGAGGATCCATAGGGTCCCTTCCAGATCTGCAGTTCTAAGATGATGATTATTCTAAGAAGGACTGCTGTATTATCAATGCCAAACAAAATTGTCAGAGAATGATGAGATGACGATTTTGTGCTGTTTCAAAATAAATAGGTTCTGAATCTCTGGGAATCTGCATGGGATTCTGCTGTCTCCCAAGCTGTGCTCCAGAAGCCGTAGTGCTTGAGGGACCCTCTCATCTGCCAGATGCTGGAGTTAAGGACTGAGGGAAAGATGCTAAGGACATAGTTCCATGCCTACATACCAGAGCAGCAGGAGCCCATCCCTATTTCAACCAGCATCTTCAGCTGTGATTTGGTGGTCTGGTGCTGAGGTTTCAGGAGCAAAACTTGGGTGAGTTTCTTCAAGGATTCTGGCCGGAGGAGATAGTTCCCAATCTGGTTCTCAATCACCTTTTCTTGAACACAAGAGAAACACCAGTTGAGGAAACACATGCTTATCATGCTAATCATGTTCAAATCTGGGGGTTTATCGAAGAACACTGACTGTCAGTCATCCCCCTGTTGATCAGCAGTGGTTACCAGTGACATAGAAAGGAAAAGATTTCAATATAAACACTCTGTCAGTGGACTCAGTTGCAAAACAGAGAAACGAATGGTCCAGGTTCAATCACTTTACTAAATTAAGATTTCAATTTTCAGCACATTTGCTAGGAGGAAATCTTGCCAAACTCATGGAACTAGAGACCTGTGAGATATTGCAGGAACACCAGGTCCTGGCACTGCCAGGAGGGGTGCTGATTAGGAGCCACAGTGCCAATGGGAAAAGTAATACCTGTACAGGGGAAACAGCCCTTGGCAGGCAGAAGGTAGCACTGTTTTCAGGCATCTTCCCTTACTGGCTAGTGCCAATTTCTGCAGCACCTTCTAATTGTTCTGTCCCCCCCCGCCCCCATCATCATAGGCATCCTTCAGTCTCAAGAAACTATGGTAACATGCTCTGTATCGAGAAGTATCCTCTCCAGAGCATGAAGCCTGGGTAAAGTAGTATGGAGGATAGGCTGTTACCCAAGCAGCAAACCCCCCCTCTCCACATTGCTGAAATAGTCCAATGGAAAGGCAAGAACCAATACAACTGGTTCCAGCAACGTCGCAGGAATTGGCAGAACGACACGAACTGCCTCCAGGACTCCAGCTCCAGATTTTGCCTCTAGGTTAACTCCTGGAGCCTTTTCCATGAGTGGATATAGCCACAAGTCAGTGGAGGTTTGAAATTGGAGTTTTCCTTCTCCTAGATGGGCTGCCTTCCATGGCTGACAAGCCCCACCTACCTGGCCTGCTCTCTAATAGTGCAGAAGTATGACTTCTGCACTACTTCTGGTCCCCCCACCGTTTGCTTAAAGGAGCTCTTGCAGGCACGAGAGCCCCAACGCACGGAGGATCAGAAGGAAGAAATGATACTGAAAGTGGCCCTACAGATTCCCAAGCTGCTTTCCACTAGCCTTTCCGCATGCCATATACAAGACTTGAGTGGCAGGGTACATTTGAAGAGTGTACTCTGGCGGGCTTACGTGAGTTTCAAGAAAGACTTCTGGTAGCACCAGAACTTCATACATGCAAAAGCCCAGGAATGCTCCCTCCATACAAATCTTACAGTGCCAAAGCCTGTGATGAGCCTATAGGCCTCACTATTACAAACAAAGGCTTTCACTGAAAAAGCTGCAAAACCCCCAGTTATGGCCTTGGAAGGTGGTTTGATCTATTCACACATCCCACATACCAATTATTTGCTTGAAACTTGGAGCTTCCAGGTCTAGGAGGACAGTCCCTTTCCTTATACACGTCCTCAGCTCAAACAGACTGTGAAGGGACAGAGTTGTCACATGAGGTTTGCTCCAGCGTTCTCCTCCATCTTCCACTTTCTCTTCAAACTTTATCCATCTGCAACCAAAAAGTGGAGTTAAACCTGCAACTGAGACTCTTGCATATATGACATAATTATGGTCATATGCTTTCCAAAAGGCATGACCTCATGACTTCACGTGAAAATATACCAGCTATTTAGCCTCCTTGTCAGAACTGAGCAAAGGTCAGCTTCTGGGATCAAGGAGAGATGGCTCTTAGCCCAGGTGGACTAGCAGTAGGTGTGTAATCAGAGTAAGGCAGGAATAGCTTGGAAAACCGGCACATCACATTCAAGCCCCCACCTAGTGCCACTAATACTTTGTGGGTACTAATTTCTATTGTGGTATTCTTTAGTCTTCCAAACTATGCCTTGTTTGTGTGGTGGAGCTGGGTAATGATATGGAGGACTCCACTGGAGCTGGCTACATCCCTTCTTTCATATATGGGAACTGGCAGCCGTTAACACATTACACTGCAGTGTGATTTGTGGGAAACTATAGTGTTGCCATAGATGCTGGGCAAATGCCTGTCAGAGAAATGACATCACCTTTATCATGAAATGGCTTTCCTGTCAAATAAATTCAGTCTTCACATTTGAGAAAAAATCTTCCCTTTCAGAATAGAACAGACACCCAGATTTTGAAGGATGAATATACATTAATACAGTGTATCAAACTGTTGTATTGATTGTGTGTGTTTAGTCGTTTAGTCGTGTCCGACTCTTCGTGACCCCATGGACCAGAGCACGCCAGGCCCTCCTGTCTTCTACTGCCTCCCGGAGTTGTGTCAGGTTCATGTTGGTTGCTTCGCAGACACTGTCCAGCCATCTCATCCTCGGTCGTCCCCTTCTCCTCTTGCCATCACACCTTCCTAACATCAAGGTTTTTTCCAAGGACTCTTTTCTTCTCATGAGATGGCCAAAGTACTGGAGCCTCAGCTTCAGGATCTGTCCTTCAAGTGAGCATTCAGGGTTGATTTCCTTTAGAACTGATAGGTTTGTTCTCCTTGCAGGCCAGGTGATTCTCAAGAGCCTCCTCCAGCACCACAATTCAAAGGCATCAATTCTCCGGCGGTCTGCTTTCTTTATGGTCCAGCTCTCACTTCCATACATCACGACAGGAAAAACCATAGCTTTGACTATTCGGACTTTTGTTGGCAAGGTGATGTCTCTGCTTTTCAAGATGCTGTCAAGATTTGTCATCGCTTTCCTCCCAAGAAGAAGGCGCCTTTTAATTTCAGGGCTGCTGTCTCCATCTGAAGTAATCATGGAGCCCAGGAAGATAAAATTTGACACTGCCTCCATATCTTCCCCTTCTATTTCCCAGGAGGTGATGGGACCAGTGGCCATGATCTTAGTTTTTTTGATGTTGAGTTTCAGACCATTTTTTGCACTCTCCTCTTTCACTCTCATTACAAGGTTCTTCAATTCCTCCTCACTTTCTGCCATCAGAGTGGTATCATCTGCATATCGGAGGTTGTTGATATTTCTTCCGGCAATCTTAATTCCGGCTTGGGTTTCTTCCAGTCCAGCCTTCCGCATGATGTATTCTGCATATAAGTTAAATAAGCTGGGGGACAATATACAGCCTTGCCGTACTCCTTTCCCAATTTTGAACCAATCAGTTGTTCCATGACCAGTTCTAACTGTTGCTTCCTGTCCCACATATAGGTTTCTCAGGAGACAGATAAAGTGGTCAGGCACTCCCATTTCTTTAAGAACTTGCCATAGTCTGCTGTGGTCCACACAGTCAAAGGCTTTCGCATAGTCAATGAAGCAGAAGTAGATATTTTTCTGGAACTCTCTGGCTTTCTCCATAATCCAGCGCAAGTTAGCAATTTGGTCTCGAGTTCCTCTGCCTCTTCGGAATCCAGCTTGTACTTCTGGGAGTTCTCGGTCCACATACTGCTGAAGCCTACCTTGCAGGATTTTGAGCATAACCTTGCTAGCGTGCGAAATGAGTGCAATTGTACGGTAGTTGGAGCATTCTTTGGCACTGCCTTTCTTTGGGATTGGGATGTAGACTGATCTTTTCCAATCCTCTGGCCACTGTTGAGTTTTCCAAACTTGCTGGCATATTGAATGTAGCACCTTAACAGCATCATCTTTCAAGATTTTAAATAGTTCAACTGGAATGCCATCACCTCCACTGGCCTTGTTGTTAGCCAGGCTTTCTAAGGCCCACTTGACTTCACTCTCCAGGATGTCTGGCTCAAGGTCAGCAACTACATTGTCTGCATTGTCCGGGATATCCAAATCTTTCCGATATAATTCCTCTGTGTATTCTTGCCACCTCGTCTTGACCCCTCTTGTCTTTCCACTGGCAGACGAGGATCATCATAACAACTCTTCAATCATCATCATCATCATCATCATCATCATCATCATCATCATCATCATCATCATCATCATCATCATCATCATGTGGTATCAAGTCAGTTCTGACCTGTGATGACTTTGTTTCAGGATTTGCCAGGTAGAGAGTACTCAGAAGCAGTTTCCCTTTCCCTTCTTATGGGGACATCCTGGGACTGTGCAGCTTGCCCAAGGCCACACAGGCTGGTGCTAGTTTACAGAAGTCTCAGTGGGGAATTTAACTCTCAGCCTTTGGTTCTGCAGCCAGATACCTAAACCACTGAGCTATCTATCCACTAAGATCTCTTCTCAGGCAAAGTACCAAACTGAGCAGTCTCTGGCACTCTTGGGTCAAACTGATGATCTGCACCCACACCTGCCTGGTTTCATGTCCAGTTTTGACACACAAGTTGCTTTGACAACATGACAAAGGACAGATAGTGGGAGAGGGACAGGGTGAATTGGCCATGAAGTCTTTCTAACTGAACTCTGCAGTTTGGGAATTGGAAACAAGTTGTTTTGATAGTTTTGTTCACACTGGAGGGGAGGTTGTGTTCTGGGGCTGTTGTCTGGCCCTGTTGCATTTATGCAAAGGATCCCTCGGGTTCTGGCTTGACTGCCACTCTGTTGAACATCTGCATGAAATCAGACTCAGCAAAGTTGCATGAAAGTTCGAGGCTGACTATGATTGGTCATTCCCAGTTCTCTTTCTTTTTTGTTTTCGACTGATATTGTTGAGGAGGCTGGCTGGCTGGCTCAGCGAGTTAGGTACCTGGCTGTGGAGCTAGAGGCTGGGAGTTCGATTTCCACCATACTGTGTGGCCTTGAGCAAGCTGCACCATTCCAGAATTGACTTGATGGCACACTGATGGATTGTTGAGGAACTAAAACAAAGTATAATAGGTATTCATGGATCAGATCAGACCAATATATTAAAGCTCAGTCTTAGGGTTGCTAGGTTAGTAATGTTTCAACAGCAATTACAAAATTGTGTCCATGTGATAGACAGACAGCATTTGAACTATACGGAATTTAAGGCCAGCACAGGAATGCTAAAGGCATGAGAAGGAAAAGTTTATGTCTAAATGGCCTATACTGAAGTCACGTTGACAAACTGACAACATCCCAAAGCCTGAGATTTAAAGGAGAAACTCCAGTTCTGAGTGTCAGGGCCAAAAGTGAAGATTCAACTGCCCTAGTAAGATGTAAGAGCTGTTCAGATGTGGTTATGCTGTTATCTAGATATGTGGTTGCCCAAGAAAAACACATGAGAAAATCAATTGTTTTATAAGGAAACTGAGGAATACCAGGGAGGGGTGTGTGTTAAATTATTTCCTTTTTTGCAATGAATGAAAGGCTTTTAAAGCAAGGTTTGCTCATTATGAAGATTTGTATGTAAGACAGTTACTAGTCTACAGAATTAGGGGGCAATAATTCCTGTGCATACTGTCATACGACAGCTTCACTGGCTGACAATCTGTTTCTGGGCTCAATTCAAAGTGCAGGTTATACAGTAACTATAAAGGCCTAAATGGCTTATGTCCAGGTTATCTGAAGGATTGTATCACCTCATATGAACCTCTTTGACTTTTAACGTCTTTTGGGGAGGCCCTTCTCACAGTCCTGTCACCTTCACAGCATCATTTAGTGAAGACAGGAGAGAAGGTCTTCCCAGGAGCTGCTCCCAGGCTTTGGAATGCACTACCTTGTGCAGCTAGGCTGGTCCCTTCCCTCTTGTCCTTCCATCATTTATGCATTTATTTTTTCTACCCCACCCATCTAGACCAAAGGTCTACTCATCGGGCAAAGACCTTTTTTTGGTAATTTTGCTTGCACTCTGCATATGCTCTGGATTTTGTTATTCTTGTTATTTGCTGTCAATTAGCTTCCAACATATATGCAGAATACATATATATAGAAGACGTTAGAATCACACTTGGGCTCCTTGATCACTGCAGATGGTGACAGCAGCCACAAAATTAAAAGACGCCTGCTTCTTGGGAGGAAAGCCATGAGTAACCTAGGTAGCAACTTAAAAAGCAGAGACATCACCTTGTCAACAAAGATCCACATAACCAAAGCTATGGTTTTTCCAGTAGTGATGTATGGAAGTGAGAGCTGGACGATAAAGAAAGCTGACCACCGAAGAATTTATGCTTTTGAATTGTGGTGTTGGAGGAGGCTCTTGAGAGTCCCCTGGACTG